AATTATTAGTGTATCTTTATTGCTAATTTCTTATCATCCCTATTATATATATATAATAAGATATATAATTGCCTTTTTTTCTCAAATCCAATAGTCTTAAAATAAATAAATCATTAACTTGATTAAGTTTTTGTGGGCAGAGTCTATCTGGTGGCAGAAAATGTAGCACTTTAAAGTAGCACTCTATGGAAGCCATGGAACAAAAAAAAGTTTATATTTCAAAATTCTTGCAATTATATCACAATTCTGATAAGAAAAATCAACTCGCCATTCTCTTTTTTCCCCCTCGGCTCAGAATCATGAGTTTATATCCCACACTCTGGCTTTTATTCCCTCAGAATGGACAAACTAGCAATTGTTGAGTTAAATTGAGTAATAAAGTCTGAACTAGGAGATATAAACGTCAGAATTGTGAGATAAAATAGGTCAATGCTATGTAAAACATTATAGGTTTAAATAGTATTTCTTACTGTAACTGTAGGGCTAATACAATATGTCCCTTATGAACTGCATATGTGAATATTGTTTTCACGTTTTTCCTGTTTGACACTTTAAAGCTGCTTTGACACAATCTGTATTGTATAAAGCGCTATATACAGTAAATAAAGGTGACTTGACGACTTGAATTGACTTTGATTTACTGAGGTCATTGAGAGGAACTGACGGTTGGAGTAAACTTATAACACACATATAAGAGCATGCAGCAGCTGTAGTCTCTGAGATTAGTCTGCAATCTCTCCTAATGCAGTTGAACACCATTAAGATCTTGAGGCTCAACAATACATTTTTTTGTCTTATTCCATGGATTTTACCCGTTTCCGTCCACTTGTTCCCAGTGTTGTTCTGCCATCACAATAGATGCAGCTGCAAGTGACGTAACTGTGACGTCTACTCCAAATTGATCTGTTATGACATATCTAAGTGAAGACTCAGAAGACAGCACTTGGTACAGACAGAGTCCTCTGCTCAATCTGACCTGTGCTGCAGCTTGGAATTAAACCACACCATGCTGGTTTGGTCTGTTCAGAGGAGAACTGCCCCCCTGACTGAACCTGGTTTCTCCTAAGGTTTTTTTTTCTCCATTTCTGTCACCGATGGAGTCTTGGTTCCTTGCCACCTTCGCCTTTGGCTTGCTTAATTGGGGACACAATTTCTGGCAATATTGTTGACTTGACTGCACAGATACTATTTGAACTAGAACTGAGCTGAGCTGGACGATGACAGCACTGAATCATCAATGAACTGACTTTAACTGATAAACTGACTGTTTTCTATCGTCCTCTTGCATTATCAGCTCACGTTTTTCCTGTTTGACACTTTAAAGCTGCTTTGACACAATCTGTATTGTATAAAGCGCTATATACAGTAAATAAAGGTGACTTGACGACTTGAATTGACTTTGATTTACTGAGGTCATTGAGAGGAACTGACGGTTGGAGTAAACTTATAACACACATATAAGAGCATGCAGCAGCTGTAGTCTCTGAGATTAGTCTGCAATCTCTCCTAATGCAGTTGAACACCATTAAGATCTTGATTTATTCAGGCCTATGGCTCCAGACGAACCAAGCTCATCCTCACAGACAAACGCGCACTGCTCGCGCTCAGTTGCATGATAACCGCGGCCACGATGTGTCTGGTGTGTGAACGACTGACTCGTGTTTCAGGAACAGAGCATGATAGAACTATAAATATACATATCAACATTAGACATAATGTGTATATTCAACTCAATATCTTAGCATTTGTTCTGAATGGTTAAAATTGTGATTTTAGTTTAACTGTACAAACGTCCAGCTTCTCGTGTCTTTCTGCTGTCAGATCTTGACAGATTTTTATTAAGTAAACATCAGAATAACTGCAGTAATATCTCCAGATGAACACTTACTGGACTGAAGCAGCTCAGCTTTACTTGATTCTCCATCAATCATGTTTTAGAGTCTCAAATCTGATCCTCAGGATCTTTTGAGGAGCGTTTGTTTCCAGAAGCTTTACTTTCACTGTTCCTCAGCGGAGGAATGATCTTCACAAGCCTCCAGAACATCTCACATCTTCTGAGGAGCCTTTATTTCTTCAGCTCTCAATCACTGCATTATATGTTTGGATCATTTCAATCTCATCTTACTGAGACATGTTACTGGAGATATAGAGTGATGACTGATATTCAGATCACTTTATGTAAGTTTTAAAGATCCTGAAATATTTAATGGTCAAATAAAATGTGCACTGAAATCGTTATAACATTGATGACGTTGCTTCATTTTATATCACATCTCAGTCGATTTCTTCAGTTTATAAACACAAACACATGATTTGTTCATGTGTACAGTAATGTTATGGAGCTCTATCCCTCATTTACGAGACAGAACAACACAAGGATCGATGCATTAGAACCATTTATTCAGAAATACAGTAAAAATGCCATTGTCAAAGTCAATCTGATAATGACTTGAATAAGTCTCTTCTATTATGAATACGTTTTCTGGTTCGGTCTCTTTGATGGAGGTTTGAAGTAATTTTTTGAGAAGGTGGTTTGTTTACGTCACACCAAAAACAATAACAAACAGCAACATGTAAGACCACTGGATTCAGTTTGTCAAACAGCTTTGTAAACCACCGTGTAGACCTTTGTAAATGAAGACTAAGCTCAGTAGATGCTTATGATCACAAAAGGCTAGTCAGTGATAGTATAGTATTGTGAGGTGTGAGAGGAGCAGATGCGTCACATGACTAAGCGTTCAACAGAAATCAGAAGCTGTGGAAATTAATTAGCCAGCGTGTCCTAAGGCACATTGAGTGCTCGACAGCACTTTCTGCATAAAACATGAAGCTATAAAGACGTGATCTTAACATCTGATCCTTTTAACACTTCCCATTGACTGAGTAAAGCTGGAGCTCTCCATTACTGCTCATGTAAGCGTGCTGTCGTTGCTCACGCGCTTCAGTAATGTGCATTAACAGAGAGCATCAGAAACACAAGCACTGCACGCTTCAGTCACGCTCTGATTCCTGCAGACCAGCATAGACATATACTACTGTTACTGATTACAAACACTTTTTATGGATTACATGATTACATATTGTTCATAAGATGGCAGTGAGTTATTCATAATTTATTGATTCTCCCTAATTCTTCTTTTTTCTCTTTTAAAGTTTTCTTAAAAACTTTAAATGCCATGTAAATAATTTTGTGATCCATGCTTCTAATTTGAGGGGAAAAGCACCTCTCAAGATCATGTATGAAACAAAGAGTTATGCAAGTTATTGGTGATGTATAGCTGTGAAACACTACGCCTTCAGTAACTGTTGATTCTGGACAAAAATATTTCAATCCTGGAAGACTTTGGGCGTGTAATGTCATTGTTGTTTTCATGTTTATTAATGTTTGTTCATATAATGTAGGGATTCCCAAAAGTTTTTGTCAGCTAAACCCATATTTACCTGAAATATTCCTGAGGAAGTTAATATCTCAATAATTTAACAACACATTTGCATGTTCACAGTTCTCTGATGTTGGTTAATTGTCACATTGACATGCATGTAAACAAATTAAATATTTGTTTTTAGTGTTTAAGCATTTTATTTGGATTGTTTTTGTTTTAAGATAAATTATTAAAATGTTTTACATTTTTATGACTGAATTAATTAGCTTTTTGTCAACTAACAAACCCACTTGAGTTCTGACATTAAGCCCGGTTTGGGAAACTATGTTTTGATGTCATTTGTAATGCATTTTTATATGTATATCAATATATGGTACATTTAAGTTTAAAAAGTTAGGTAAAAAGTACTCAGAATACCTCAAATGAGTAACCTAGATTATGTTACACAGTGTGTGTGTGTGTGTGTGTTTTTGTGACAAATGAGGACATAAATTTGTATAATGACAAAGGTATGACATAGGTATTACAAGGAGAAGGTGACTTTTCAGGACATTACCCCATGTCCCCACTTTTCAAAACACTTATAAATCACACAGAATGGAGGTGTGTGTGTGTCTGAGTGTGTGTGTGTGTGTGAGTGTCTGAGTGTATGTCTGAGTGTGTGTGTGTGTATTAAAAAAAGATTTTAGGATTGAAAATGATTCCTCATGCTCACTAAACCAGTTTCACAAACTGAATCATGAATCATGAAATCCTGGAATATGTTTATATGGTTTCATCTTCTGACATGGCTGTTTGAGAAGTAAAAAGAACACACTGCATCATTTAGGGTTAAAAGAATTGTTGCCAAACATACAACATGCCAGAAACACATTAATAATTGCAATAATGATCCAATCCTAGACTTGAGTATTTGCTTATTTCAATCCAAATGTCAATTTTTTTTCTTGACCAGGCAGTGTATGCAATTCTGAGAAATTGAGCACATGTTCAGTTGTGACTAAAGTTGAAAATGAACTTAGATTCATAATAACAGCCTCTTTCAATATACTGTAACCGCCCTAAAAGAGCTTGAAAGGCGTTCATAGACCCAGCGTAACTGAATCACGAGGAACGTTTGTGTGATTTTCCTGGAAGGAGGAATGATTTTGCACAGCTGGTTTTCACAGAACAGGACACGAGAGCTTTTCTCAGACATCTGTCAGGTGCGACATCGATTCTTCTCACTTGAGCAGCCTCTCATGAAACACAAAGATTTTTTATAATGTTTCTGAAAGAAGTCTCTTCTGCTCATCAAGGCTGAACTTATTTGATCAAAAATATATTCACAAATATTGTAAAATATTATTATAATTTAAAACCGCTGTTTTCTATGTGAATATCTGTTAAACTGTAATGTATTTCTGTGATGCGCAGCTGTATTTTCAGCATCATTACTCCAGTCTTCAGTGTCACATGATCTTCAGAAATCAGTATAATATGCTGATTTGCTGCTCAAGAAACATTTATTATTATTATCAGTGTTGAAAACAGTCGTGCTGCACGATATTTTTGTGAAAACGGTGATGCTTTTTATTTTTCAGGATTCACAGATGAATAGAAAGTTGAAAAGAACAGCATTTATTTGAACCTCTACTGTTACTTTTGATCAATTTAACGCTTGTAGCTCTGATTCTAACAGACACATAAAAGGCCAAACAAAATCACAGGTGCACATTTGGTTAATACATGATTAGTCTTTATTACACGTGAAAAAAATGAAACATGACTCAAAAAACAGGATGCTGCTCTATCAAAGTCCAGGCTGAAGACTTCAGTAAAAAGTCTTGATGATAAACGCAACAGGTTCATTCCTCGATGAAAATAAGGCAGGCGCTGGTGTTCAAATGCAATTAAAGCCTCATTTAGTCGCCACACATAAAACACAGGTCATATCACATGATCTTCATTCAGTGCGTCCAGTGTCCTCGGCCCTGAATCACATCATCTGTCTCCAGCTGGTTAAACACAGTGTTGAGACGCCGTCTGGTCAGCAGCTGTGAGCTCACTGACCCACAGACAGAGGAATATTAAGAGGGTCCGGCTCCGCTCTGGGCCGCAGGGGACGAGACGCTGCTGGACTGAGGGACAGAGGTCGCTGTGGACGCTGCCGCCGCCGGCTCCATCTTACTGATGTGAGTGATGAAGCGCAGACGGAGACGCATCGCTGGCCTCAGCGAACAGATGATCCTCTCCACCTACAGACACAACACACACACACACACACTGATTCATTCTGCGTCCCAAATCACCTGCTCATACTACACATAATATAGATGTACATCCTGCACACTTTACAATATGTGACCCTGGACCACAAAACCAGTCATAAGTGTCAATTTTTCAAAATTGAAATTCATGCATCATCTGAAAGTTGAATAAATAAGCTTTCCATTGATGTATGGTTTGTTAGGATATGACAATATTTGGCTGAGATACAACTATTTGAAAATCTGGAATCTGAGGGTGCAAAAAAATCTAAATATTGAGAAAATCATCTTTAAAGTTGTTCAAATGAAGTTCTTAGCAATGCATATTACTAATCAAAAATTAAGTTTTGATATATTTACGGTAGGAAATTTACAAAATATCTTCATGGAACATGATCTTTACTTAATATCTTAATGATTTTTGGCATAAAAGAAAAATGTATAATTTTGACCTATACAATGTATTGTTGGCTATTGCTACAAATATACCCCAGCGACTTAACACTGCTTTTGTGCTCCAGGGTCACATATATAAAGTACACATCCTGCACATTTCACTTCTTTTCCTGTCCGACAGAATTGGAGGGAAATGAAGTAGAGCACTGATCTTTCATTGACGTCTTTCATATCGAGTAATATCATAACACATTGAATCTTTAGGTTTAACATGACTTAGACGAGTGTCGTCATCTGTGCTTCTGTACAGCTCAAAAGTTTGGGGTCAGTACATCTTTAAAAAAAAAATTTCCATAGAAGTCTCTTCTGCTCACCAGTGCTGCATTTATTTGATCAGAAATACAGTAGAAACAATAATATTGTGAAATATTATTGCAGTTTAAAACAGCTGTTTTCTATGTGAATCTCGTTTTTAAAGACACATTTCCTCACGGTCTATCAGGGCTCGTCAATGTCAAAATTCTCAAGACGGTCAATCAAAACCAGAGAAGACAGGCTTTACTCTTCACAGAAACTGAACGTGAATTCCAGCAACGCAAGAACTAGATAAACGTCATCTGACAACTGTTTCACAACACAGAGATCTCCGATGATGAAAACTGTTCCAGCTTGTCAAATTCTGCTATTTTAAGGATATAGCCTTTATCGTTTACATAATTCATGTAATTTGTAATAAAATGTGACGAGACAAGAAAGATTAACAGATGTTTTAGGCAATATTAAGAGTGTGCATATTCCAAAATAAATATTATTTGTAAATAGTTCAAATAAATCCCTTTACAACCAATTCTAGTTCTTTAACTATTATCTTTCTTTCTTTATGTAAAAGCGTAATTACACTTTTATAGTGTCGCCTCAAAATAGTGACAAATAAGTACTGAGTAATACTAATTAACTACATGTACTTACCGCAGGGTTTGGTTTAGGGTTATTTGCTTTTAATTATGCATAATTTACTGTTATTACTATAGTAAGTACATGTAACGTGTGACCGACATGTTAAAGTAAAGCATTGCCCCATTACATTTGTGACCTGCCACACCCTCAGTGCTCAAGACATGCTTACAGCCATGAATACAGAAGAGAATGGAGTGTGTGTGTGTGTGTATGTTTGAGTGAGTGTGTGTGTGTAGTGTGTTTGAGTGAGTGAGTGTCTGTGTGTCTGTGTATGTTTGAGTGTGTGTGTGTGTGTGTGTGTGTGTGTGTGTTTGAGTGAGTGAGTGTCTGTGTGTGTGTGTGTGTGTGCGTGGTGAGTGTCTGTGTGTGTGTGTGTGTGTGCGTGCGTGCGTGTTACCTGGTCTTTGACACTGTCCCCAGTAAACATGTATTTGATGTGGTACAGGAAGTCACAGATGGGGTCCATATAGGCCAGGTGCTTACTGTGCTGGTCCACAGCCTGAAGCATCTCATAAAACGCCACTCCAATCTGAGAGAGGAGGAACACATTCATCTTAACTCACACTAGACAGCAAAGACCTCATGATATTCATCACAACACAGATTACGATTCAATACACTCTGATTCATTAATATCAATGACAGCAAGTTTAATCTTTAATGAGCCGAAAAGAACGCACGTCACACCTTCATCAATCTACACAGGCTACCAGTAGCTGAGTCCTTAACCATCTTCAAGAAACGACTAAAAACACATCTGTTCCACCTTTATTTGACCCTCTAACTCTAGCACTTTCTATTCTATTTTAATTCTACTTTATCTATTTATCTTTTTTTATATAAAAAAGAAAAAAACTTTCTATTTTTTCTATTCTATCTACTCGTTTTTCTTTGTGTGTGTGTGTGTATATAATATATATATATATATATACACCTTGATGATTTTATTTTTCCCATGATTTCATATTTTTGTATTCAATGGTTTTTTCTTCTATATTAAACTCATAGCATTATTTATGTAATTGTCATAGCAGTGTAAATGCATTCATGTATCTTTGAGTCTGTATAAATACATCTAAATGTAAATACATCTTTGTCAATACTGCACACCCTTATTTCTTACCCTCAAGTAATGCTAAAAGACTATATATTTCGGATTGGTCCAGTCAATGCACATGTGCAGCGCAGAGTGAAGGCCGACCGCAAGATAAAAGACCAGCTGTTGACTTTTATGTGACTTTTATTTTATTTTATCATTCATAGTAATACCAGCGGTCCATCTCAGCTATATACAGTCTCTGATATTAATTACATTTGGTAACTGGATATAGCGTGTGTGTGGTAGAAGAGCGTAAGCATGATCAGAGTGATATTCATGAGTTTGGGTCTTCACTGGAGTAACTGGTATTGGTTAATTTTTGGTACTAGCACGTTTGATGAGGATGGTGTAAGCGCTGGCAGCTCAACTGGATGAGATGGGAGTGTTCAGTAAAGGAGAGAGAGCATAAGAAGCTTGAGGGTTTGTGGGTAAAAGTGCAGTGTGCTCGGTGTGTAAAGAGCACTTTCATTAGCTGGACTGCTTCAAACAGCCCCAGAGGAGCTCAGCATGTACTACTCGCCTCGGCTGAAGCGCTCTCTAAACGTGTGTGTGTGAGCTGCTTCTCCGTCCGCTGCATATGTGCGGCATGTTCAGAGGCTTGTGTCAAGGTGAGTGTGACTGTGAAATGGGCAGGTGTGTTTGTGTGAGTGAGTGTTGTGTGTGTGGCTCTACCTCCAGCATGCATCTGGTCCTCTCCTGCTGGAAGCGCTGCAGAAACGGCCCCACCAGGTGATACACGTACAGCAGCTGGAACTCCGTCTTCACGATGGGCTTCAGCACCTCTGAGAGGAACCTCACACACACACAAATCATGTGAAAACCATGGTTAAAATCACTGCAACACCAAGATGAAGACACCACTGATCAATCAATAATCACACACATTGACAAACTGTATTCAGTCTACACAATACTAACTGCAGGCTGTTTAAGGAGGAAGAAATGTAGCAATTTCTGCATGAATCGAGAAGGAATCTGGCTGCAGTGGTGTCCGTGTGTGAGTGTTTAACTACAGCTCTGAACACATCTGAGTCACAATGAGTGTGTTTAATGAAGATCGGTTCACAGCGGATGACATTATCATCATCATGATCGATCTGCCCTGAGCTCATCCAATCAGAACATTAAACTCATTTTCATGACATTTTTTGCTCATCGGGTTGAAACCCAATGACCTTCTGTTATTGATCATGTCAGGACTGGAGCTTCGTGAATCTGCTCACAGCTGAAGTGTGTGTCACTCTCAAATGCTTTGTCTCTGTTGAATGTTCAACACTGGAACTCGATGAGAATGAGTCGAATAAGTGCAAATAAATGACAGTGTTCAAGTGGCGTCACATTCACACGAGTGGACAGGCTGTGGATGCAGCGGCTGCGGGAGTGAGCCACACACACCAGCGTTCAGAGGTTTAGGCGTTTCATCAGATGGGGAGTGTGCTGATATTCCCGTCGCAGCAGACGGAGTGTGTCAGACGCTGTGAACCGTGTCCTATCACAGCTCCTGCAGGAGCCGCCTGTCACTGAATGATCAGTGTGTGCATGGCCACGATCCCAGACATCACAGTGCTTGTCAGCACAGACACATCAAAACAAACAGAGCATGTGACTGCTGCACGAGGCACAACACAACACACACACCACCGCTCAGACGTTTGGACTCAGTATAAAGAAATTAATACTTTTATTCAGCGAGGATGCATTAAAGTGACAGTAAAGGCATTTATATTGTTATGAAAGATTCCATTTCAAATAAATGCTGTTCTTTTGAACTTTCTATTCATCTGTGAATCTCGCATTACAGTGGAAGGAGATATTGTGCTTTCTAAAAAATAAACCTCAAGGGCAGCATATACAAAGAAAACAACATAGGGCCCAATATTGACCCTTGGGGGACGCCACAAAAAAGAGGGGCAGCAGATGAAGAAAATTCACCAAGGTGAACAGAAAAACTTCTGTCTGTCAAATACGACTGAAACCATTTAAGGGCTATGCCCTTAATGCCGACACACTGTTCTAGTCTAGATAGAAGAATTGAGTTGTCGACCGTATCAAAGGCCGCAGTTAAATCCAAAAGGACTAAAACAGCAGAGTTACCAGAGTCCACAGCTAAAAGAAGATCATTAGAAACTCTTAAAAGAGCAGTTTCTGTACTGTGACAGGGCTTAAAACCAGACTGAAATTTTTCATAAATACTAAATTCATCAAGAAATGATTGAAGTTGATTAAAAACAACTCTCTCCAAAACTTTCGATAAAAAGGGGAGTTTAGATATAGGTCTAAATTTAGACAAAATTGAAGGATCCAAGTTATTCTTTTTTAGATGCGGTTGCACGATGGCATGTTTAAAAACAGCTGGTACACATCCTGAGCTGAGAGATGTATTAACCAAAGATACAACGCTTGGCCCAACAGTGTCAAAGACATCTTTAGCTAAGCGTGCAGGAATACTGTCAAGGGGGCAGTTTGCAGGACGTAGCTGTTTAACTATGTCAGAAAGATAGGAGAATGTAACAGGCTCAAACTGCTGAAAGACAGCTGGGCAAAAAGAGAAATCAAGGGAGTCACTGATAACCGTGATGGGTGGAAAACTAAGACCAGCAATTTTGTCCACAAAATATTTCAGAAAGTTTTCACATAATATTAAAGATGGCACAATACAATCTGAATCACGTCCTGTTCAGCTGCACTTTCAGACGAAAGACGAAGTGATGACGCCTAAGGAGGTATTTATAGACAGACACGTCATTAAGGTCATGAAGTGACAGCTTTTATATTAGGTTCTTGACAAGGAGGAGGACAGGAAGATATTCCACTCAGTTATGCCCTCTGGCGGTCTGCAGGCCAGGAAAAAGAAAAACAGTTCATGAGAACACCAAACGTAATGAGTTTTGGAGTAAATCCATGGTATATAAATATAGAAATCATTCAGTAACACAATATTAAAGTACCATAACAAGTGTCCTGAAAATACGAACCATCTCTTATTAGTTAGTTAGGGTTAGAGGAGTGTTGTGTGGGTTAGTTTTGGTAGGTCATCCTGAGCAAGTTCCAGCATTAACCTCATTGACCTGTACCAGTGTTAATTTTGTTGATGAATAATTTTCGTCATAATGCTTGTCAACGACATTTTTTTCACAACGAGACGATAACGAACTAAAACTCTTTTTGAATGACAAAAACTATGACGAAAATATATTTACATTTTCGTCAACGAATAAAAACGAGACGAAAATGTTAGGGAGGGACGATTTGGGAAGAGATTCATTCAATTTCAGAACAAATCTGCTGCGTGGTTCGGAGGTTAGATGTGTAGCCTATGAACCGGCAGGACATAAGCTAAAATACACTTGCTGCACGTCTCATAAAATGTTCAAAAATGTCAATATGTGGGAGTAAGAGAAGAGCAGACATATGGATAAATCTGACGACGCAAGAGAGAACTAATTTCGGTCAGGTGTCCTGACATTTTATCCTAGCCGTCAGATTGTCCTACCAGGGTTTACTGCGCATGCGCACATCAATATTGCATCCTTTT